GAGTAAACGTGCCCTTGGTGGTTGTCAGCTTCACAACCGTGGTTGGGTACTTGCGGGTGTCTCCATGGACACAAACCACTGGAACTGGGTCTCCGTGAGCAGGGGCCAATGCCTCCAACACAGATTCATGGATCAGGGTCCGGGCACTTCCAGAATCGAGCAAGGCTTCCACATCAGGTTGATTCACCCTCACTGGTCAGGTTGGTCTGCGGTCTCCACTTTCACCCAGGAGAGCAGCAAAGTGGACCTGAGGGCTGCTAGCACACTCTGCTGTGGGCATTGGCTCATCAGGCTGGTCACACTGCCATGAGATATGGCCCAATTCGCCACAGCGATAGCACTGGCGCAACTCGGGGTTCGGGACTCCTCTTGGCGGCCTAGGAGGATTAACAAGTCTATGGGGTGGGCCAGAGTGAGGGTTGGCTGATTTAAGACCTTTTTGTTGAGGCCCACCTGTTTGGACGGGGACACAAGCGATAGGCTTTTTACTGGTAGGGCGGAGCATGTCTGAGGCTGCCTGGAACTGCTCCACTGCTTCTACCAACTCTGTGGCCGTTGTTAATTTTTGGTGACATTACTTTTTTGGCCTCATAAGGCAGAGCTCTTAGATAACGGTCCATAACAAGAGTCTCTATATGTCTGTGGGGCTGCTCTTTCTCTGGTTCCAGACACCTTTTCGTCACCCGTATCAATTTGTGCATTTGGGAACGGGGAGTTATCCCATTTTGGAAGGTCCAGTTATGGAACCGTTGAGCCATGCTAAATTTAGTCAGCCCATGGCGACTCAGTATCTCTCCCTTTAACTGGCCATAGTCTTGATCAGTACTGGCCTCTACGTCTTGATACGCTTTAAGTGACTCACCCGACAGAAAAGGAGCCAGGAGTCCAACCCACTGTGTCTTTGGCCACTCCTCCCGAGTGGCTGTCGCTTCAAATGCATGAAGGTAAGCTTCCACATTTTCCGTCTCCCCCAGTTTCGGAATGAAGTCAGCTGCTTTGGGTTTTGACCTGGTTACCTGTTGCAGCTCCTGCTCTTTGAGTTGGTTTACTTGCTGTTGCAACAAGGCTGCCCCGATGTCTTGCTGCGCCCTCTGGCTCTCCACCAGCTCCATTTCTCCATTTGGGTTGGGTGGTCATTTGTGTGAAGTTCTGAAAAAACTGTGTCAAAGCTTCAATATCTTCCGTCCCAATCATCAGCACTTAAGCCCCACTGCCCACATTCTCCACCATCTGTAACGTCATGAGAGGTCACTAGGGCAGGCTAGGGTGGGGTGGTGCAAGGGAACTAACAAAAATCAAAGGTTCTCAGAATAAGGTCACGTTTAATTCTTATTCTGCTCGGCAACTCAGGGAAGTCTCTTTATCAAAAAAATCCAAAACAAACAAAAAGCATCCAAACTATGCGTTGTTCAATAGAACCGTACTAGACAAAAACTCAACTTAAAGTGTCCTCTGCTTTCTCCTGACAACCGGGTCTTCTTCCTTTGTAAACCTGGGTGAGTGGTGAGGCCTTCTAGGAGACGGAGTTGTTGCCTCGGCGGCCATCTTGTAGTGTGGCTGCTGCTCCTTAAAGGGGAAGTAGCACCCATCTACCACCTGGCCCCGTGTGATGCCACAGTAGGTACTCCATAAAAGGCCCATAGCAGGTCATGGGTATTCAATGTATATTACAAGCATGTGATATACCTCCTCTGTTATAAATTATTAGTCAAAATGTATGTCGAAAATGCATTAAGCGCATACATAAATCTATGGAAAGGAAAACCTCTCAGGGCTTCTGTTTGTTTAAATTTAGTAATGCTGATCAAATTAGTTACAGGTCAAATAAATACACATAAGTTTGTATAGATTAAACAGTAAACAGTTATTTATCTCTTTAAAATAACCAGTTTATAGTTAGTTTCAAGTACCTTATGCTCTCAGTTTACATCGGCCATTTTAACCTAATGACACCTCTAATGTACCTTCATGACAGTGTGGAGGTGAGGGTGATTGATAGGACTGATCACATGTATGGTAGCAGTCTAGCAACACACTGACAACATATTGCAGGCAGTGGCCTGAGGCCGCAGCATGGCACAGTGCTTCCTGCCCGTGTGTCCTGAAGGCTGAGTGCCCCACATATCAGCACGAGTACAGCTCTGTTGTGCTAAAGGGCGCGTTCACACACGCACGCACGCACGCACACACACGCGCTACCCGTGCAGAAAATAGGTTTTTAGCACACTTCTGACGTCACGCCCATCGATCGGTTTTCCTCCAAAGGTTATATAATGAGAAGATGAATCACTCTGTCTGTGAAATCCAGGCCAAGAAACAGTTAAAAAACAAACTACTAGTGATATCTAGCTATGCAGGGAGTTGTGGGCTCTTTATATACATTACAGGCTAATGGAGAATGTATATTAGTGGTTCTCAGCCTGGGGGCCGATCCAGGAAGGATCATAAAAGGGACCTTTTTCTGATACCAACACTGGATGCTATTACCCCTACAAAATACTTCTAAGAGAACAACAATTCATTTAATTATTATTCTTTGCTTTACTTTCATTGATTTAACAAAACGGCAGTTCTCGTGCAACGGCACGAGAACTTTGTCGAGAAGTGAAAATGGTAATATTGAAATAAAATAAATAAAATCATTATTTGAGACAGTAAATATTTTATTAAAGAATAAGTGAACAAGATAAAAATCGTAACAAGTGTGCAGCAGACACATTTCAGTCAATTCCCGCAAAAATATGTAGGTTTCTTACCTAGACTTTGTCACACCCCAAAAAATGGAACTGAATGGAATTGAGGCTTTCTTTTCTTTTCTCTACCAAATGCAACAAGGTAAGGAAAGGAAGCTAAGAGACATCTTACTTGTTTCGATTAATTAGAGGACAATAGGCTACTGTGGGCCTACGCCAAAACAAGTCAACACCATTTAGTGCTCTCTTAACAGGTTTGACAATCCGCTGCTGGTCCTAGACTAACTCTCAACAGACTAGCAAGACAAACACATCCCACCTCACTCTCTATGACAATCAGGTACACATTCACGTGTGCCACCCACCCCCATAGGTAGCTAGACTGATTCTAGCTAGTGGTGGGCTGTCAGGGCCTGCAAAGCCTTCTCTGCTGGCCTAAACAGAATCATAACGTTATAGCTATTTTATAATTTAATATTTTTTCTTAAATACACTACATGTGTTATAATTTATAAAAATATTTTCCCCATTATCTTATGTTCTCATTGCACAGCTACTGTCTTCCTCAGTTGCTCTGCTTCCAGTGCAGCTTGTTTTAAGTAGAGCTTTTATCCAATCAGATTTCACCTCTGTGTCTCTAGGTAAGAACAGAGGCAGAGGCCTGCAGACTCACAAGTGAATCCATGTGCAGTTTAAGTGAATGGGGACGATATTGTTGATTGTCATAGTGTTCAACCAATCAGATCTTTAGTTTGACATGTTGGGTGTATTCTTTGACGTGTCAGAGCCTGCTAGCTGGCCTACAAGTACGTGATTGGTCAGTGGGCTAGCCTGACATGTTGGGCGGTGACAATCCCAATATCTGCTGCCTCTGTCTAGCGGACATTTTCAGCCTCAAACGCATTAAAACGTATATAAGAAATACAACTGGGTAGGCTCAACTGTCTTCACTGGCGTCTATGAATGGAGAAGAACTTCTTGTTGGAACTAAAACACACGGATGTACTGAACAACCGTGAGATTAAACTCTTTATTAACAAAGAAAGGAGGATGGACTTTAAATAGTGAACAGCAGCTCTGGTAAGTGAACTGCTTTTGTTTTTACATCTGCAGTAGCTTTAATATGCTTGTTTATATATTGTTATTTGTACAACTTGTTTTTATGAAGATGAATTTTTGTTTGGTTTTATATGTGATAGAAACTATTGTTATGTCCAATGTTGCTCTGGGGACATATTTAGTCGGTGCCAGTGTTGCCAACTTGGCGACTCTCTCGCTAAATCTGGCGAGTTTCCAAACCCTCATGGAGACTTTTTTTTGTCAAAAGCTACTAGTGACAAATCTAGCGACTTGTTCTGGTGTTGTTGGAGACTTTTCTGGTGTTTTGACTTGTTAAAGCACGTACGTTCTGCACTGTCGTGAACGAGCAGCGCGAGCTGCCGTGAGCCGCCCCAAAGCACACAGTCAGAGCAGAGAGGAGACACTCTATCTATAGGTGTTGGCTTAATTTTGACACGAAACAAATAATAACCGTAGCTGTGTTTCAGCTACGGTTATTATTAGTTTATATTAGTTTATAGCTACGGTTATTATTATTTTAGTTTATAGTGAAGGCCCAGGTATAAAATGCATGGCCCGCTACTGATTCTAGCATATCTAGAATGATTAAAGATTCTACAATCCTTAATCTTTTCTTCTTTCCCTCCAAATGCCCCAGTAGCAGACCTTTGGATGAACTACTATGAACAATTTACAAAGAGAACAATTTACTTCAGCATAAATAGTTCACAGAGAGGTCTGTGGATCTTACGTGGCTCAAATTACTGAAAATAATTAATTTGGTGCAGAGTGAGAGGAGCACAGCTACGGGAGCACATTTTTTTGGGGGGGGGGGTTAAGTGTCTTGTTCAAGGACACATCGACATGCGTCTAGCAGAGCCAGACCCAGGGATCAAACCGCTGATTGAATGACGGCCCTGCTCCACACTTAGCCACCGTTGCCCACTGCTAGTTGCCTGGCACCTGCTGATGCGTCAAGTTAACGAAAGTTAGCCGCTATAGACCAGATGTGGTTATTCTTTTTTGTAGTATAATTCTACCATCAAATTTCAAGCAAAAATCCTCTGTAAATAACAATAACAACATTACAAAGTTTTGCCTAAATGTTGTTTAGAATGCCCAGGGGAATTATTGATTAAATAAGAAACTGTGCTGAGAAATTGTTAAATGGCTTTGCTTTGAAAATCCTGACAGGAACCACTACTATTGTTTACTTGTTTAATGACGGTCCCCTGCTGGCTGCAGCAGAGCTGGAGGAGAGTGAGTGGAGAAGCATCAGAGTTACGCGGGGGTGTCAGGAGTAATCCTCTCCTCTGACCACCTTATGCATTTCCAGGATGAATTTTAATGTCAGCACACAGGGCGAACAGATTTAGGGGAGACAATGCCAGTCCTGCGCCGGCACCATTTTTGAAGCCCAAGAACCGCAATTTTAGAGGCGTCCACGGACAAATCACATTAGCAGGCATCGACACCTCCAGCTCACCTCGTCGGGCGATGGAGGTCTGCCGTTAAGGGCTTGGGGGAACCGGAGTCCGTCGGAATTTCGCCAAAATTACGACGGGAATCAAATACAGCTCCCTGTCTCCCTGCAACGGGAGAGACCACCGGCCGCTCGTTATGTCTCGTGCCAAGGAGCGACTGAAAGGCGGGAATGAGACCAAGGACAGCGTCACTCTGCTGCCGTGCTTTTATTTTGTAGAGGTGAAATATTTAATCTATCTATCTATCTATCTATCTATCTATCTATCTATCTATCAAAACCAACCAACCAAACAACCAGTCTGTCTGCCTGTCTGTCTATCTTTTTATCTGTCTATCACATCAGAGGTACAAGTGGAACTGACTGTTGTCAGGCTGCTGTCTGTTTGATATGGTTGATATGTTGCATGGTTCACTGTTCAGCTGGTCTAAGGAAGCAAGCAACCACACTGAATACCCCAATCAGGTTATGCTGCTAACAAATATGAAGTTATCATTATGGATCATATGTATACTATTGAGATGACACATAACAATGAGCCAGACGGTCTGTAATCCTGGTATGAAGCCCATGCAGTTTGAGGGCAGTGATACTGAGAATCTGTATTCACCTCGTCCCTGTTTACCCTGTTCTTCTTCTGCAGCCAGTGACGCTGCAGTCTCAACAGGGCATCATGATTCCTCGTGTATATGTTACAGCAATGTTGTGGGGCGGGATGCAAAGATTTATACAGCTTGATTCATGAAAGAATGCTCATCATCTGTGTATCATCCGTCAATACACCTTGATAGGAAAAGACTGAAGAGAGCCACGGTGTTCATAGACGACTGTGAATGACAACTGTCCAAATATGAACATATACTTCGATATCATGCCACACTAACGCAATTTCGACACAATTTAAACATCAGCACGATGAAATGCCCGTCCCCGTCACATCACTGTGTTCCACTGTCTCTGTCACAGCCATTGTTCCTCAACCCAGGACTACAGCTGACAGTGATGCTGCATTTAGTTCCTACGCCCCCAGACTGTGGAGCAGCCGTCCTGAAGGCTCCACAATGTGCACTTCTTTCAAAATGATTATTCACATTATTACTAGCACAGTAGTAGTTGTGGTGGTGGCCTTTAATGATGACTTTTGTTTGGACATAACCTACATTTCGATTATCATATTGGAATATGAACACAGGACACTGCATTGTCTCTGACAGGCCCTGATGAATGAGGGCTTGTTGTGATTTTGCAGTATTTTCCTAGTCAGAGAAAGTCAAAGTTCCATTACTATTGCTCTGTGTTAATTAAAGGACCATTTCAATTAGTGTCAGCCTAATTTTAATGCACCTGCCATGGACTGAATGCTTGCACATTGTATTACAGAACATAATGCAGTGGCAGCCGTGCTCCGTCCACCACTTGAATTCTCCACCTGGTGATGCAGTTAACCACGGGCTGATCAGCAACAAGACAGTCATGTTTTGCCAGAATCTGCCTTCCGAATTTCTGGTTTGAAATATTGAAATGGTAGGAATGATCAAAGGTGTTGGGGCTCTATTGAGTCCTGCCTGCTGCTGCTGAGCCCCTGCTTGCACCATCAGGTGTTGAATGTGGGGTTAGAGTGGGTTAATAGAGTCTTTGACCAACAGAGTGTACTAGCAGGTCATACTGCAACAAATACAGACATTATCTCTTTACTTATTTACAATTAACTGAATTACCAGGCAACCTAAATTGCTGTAGTATGTATACATGAAGGCATTAACCTAGTCACGTAAAAAGAATGTTCAAGCCGTTAAGTATCGCATTTCCATAAAGTTGGATGACAGATAAAAAAATAAATAAAGAACGGGCCTAGTTCAGCAGAAGCTGAGATTACCTGACATTTAGTCCTTAATATAGGGCAAGCTCCAACATGACTGGTCCTTAACTTCCCATAATGCAACTCAATAGCACCTTTACAGAGTGCTGCAGAAATTAGTCCTAAAACCCCCAAATTAGTCAGCATTGTACACTTACGGTTTCCTTGTCTCGAAGTCTATGGGATTTTTGAACAGGCTTTTGGTTAGATGCTTGAAATAAGGTCTGTGGCTAACACAAGTTTAGAAGATTCTAAGGATTTCTTGTACAACACAAAATATGTCAGAAAATATCCCACTTGTGAATTTTTAAGTTTTTACGTGTTTTTATGAAGGTGTTTGCTAGCAAGTGACTATATGAGAATACAAAACGTCATCATCTAGTTTAGTGGTGGTGACATGATGTCATGCGATCTTGGTGTAGTTTGCTACTATAGCCTAACGTTAGCTTTTTACTTCTGGTGATTGCATTGTAGTGTTCATTTGTGAAGATTATCTTATTGAACAAAATTCGTAAGTATCAAACATTTGTTTACCTCATTTTCTGCAATAATCCAAAATCCGATGGAAAATCCCATTAGCTTTCTGTCGAGGGAACCAGTTCGATGCTAATTTCCAGGTTAGCCTACACAAATACGTCATCCCTGCAGCACTCTATTAGACCATACTGTATGTAGAACACCTTGGTCTGTGTAACTTTATATTATGATATGGATATTCATATAGTTTGGAATGTAGTGCAGTTAGTAGTAGTCAGTATGAAGTTAGCATTAACATTATAGCAGTTTAGGCTATTTGGCATTTGAAGAAATGCCACAAATGCTCAAGGGCCAAACAGTGATTCGTGGGTCGCGGGACGCGTATTTTTTACTAATTAAAGTGAAGGGGGTTAGCCCCAAAGTTAGCCCCAACTTCGGCCCGGGCTCACTTAAGGTGGACTGACCTAAAAACAAGACACTTGGCCGCCAGGACTAACAACCTTTTTACTGGAAACCCTGAACAGCAGCTGCAATAGGGGCGGTCACTGTGCTAGCAACAGAACACCCAACTGAAGTCAACTGCTGGTGGCAGAATAACTGTACGTGTTTGGTTATAGTATAAGATGTGCCAGTGGGGGTGAAGTTGTGCTCTACTGCCGCCCATTCAAAATACAGAACACTGATGTCACTGGGTGACAGGTGCAGCCGTATCCGCTCTCTGTTTGGAAGCACCTTTCCTGTCTCGTTTGATATTTAGATGACATAATTTAATTGTGTGGCTATCCTGAGTTGTATTCATGAATGAGCAGAAACTGCAGCAGGAAGCAGGGAAGAGAAGTGGAACTGGAGTTTCTGGTAAGTTTGGAACTCAAACTCTCCTGCCACATACAGAGTTGTTTCTTGACGTTATAGCCAATGTAGGTCAGGGACTTGTGGCTATAAGACTGCAAAACCAAAACCAGTGGTCAAAGAAAGCTTGTGCAGTGGGATGGAGGGTAGAGAGAACCCTGACATTCTTCTCCCACTCCACACCGCTTGGCCAGTGTGAAAACCAGTTGGCGGTTGGCAGATTCGCGGTTCAATCCCACCTCCTCCGTTCCAGTGTGAATGGGTAAAGGTTGACATGCAGTGTGCCCACCAAGCAGGCGTCGTGTATGGACGTACAAAACAGGTTGATCTCTTGTCTTGTTGGCCAGATATCCAGAGACGTCCAGAATTAGTTGATGAATGATGTTTCGACAAAAAGATGAAGAAGCCTTTAGTTAAAACTCTTTTTCCAGGTTGTGCGATATACATCGGACATGCTCATGTATCATTACAGAGTCCGCCTGATGTGTCGGTATGGAGTGTGTTTCCCTGTCTACTGCTCACTGCGGGCCAGTTTCCAAACCAATCTTCGAATGGAGAATAGGATCAAACTGTGATCCGACCAAGCTATAGGCAATCCTGTATATTAAGTGTTAGGCACACTGAATAATGGATGAATGACTAATGAGGAAAAAGCCTGTTGGCACGTAGTTTTGCAGATTTTATGCTTATCTTGAAATGTTGCCATGTTAACTGTAAACAGAGCGCGTGATCAAGGATAGTTTCAGCTTGGCCTCTTTCTTGCAGAATTAACAATTTTGTGAAGTATGGCAAGATCCCAAAATTGCACATCAGTATCTATATGAGTGTTTGGTGAAAGGCTGAAATTTCTTGGCTTTTAGTTAAAAAAGCAATTTGAATCTATCATAAATATTGTTCTCCTTATTCTCCCTGACTGAGCTGCTCTGTTTCGCCTACATTTTCTATCTCACACACTGTCACACCATCCTACCCACCAACTGGCTGCTAGGCAACATGGCCCTCTGAATGGGGTGTATTTTTACATCTGTGTGTTCAGGGCTAGAGAGGTTAAGAGGAGAAAAACATCCCTACTGCAGCCTGGTTTCCTCTGTGTGCACAGTGGCTACGAAGGCTTTGGTTGACTATGGGTCTCGAAAATGATCATTATTGTACTCCCTTCATCAGATATGCATGATATAGTACACACCGGGGGATTTACATCCCAAAGGTTTATAATTGCGCCAGTGACAGCCGTGGCTGGAGGCATTATGTTTTCTGGTTATCCATCCGCCTGTCCGTCTGGTCCATTATATTGAACACGATATCCCGGGAATGCCTGGAGGGAATTTTTTGAAGTTTGGCACCATTGTCCCCATGGACCGAAGGATGAACTCATTTGAATTTGGTGATCAAAGGTAAAAGGTCACTCTGACCTTACAAAGCTACTCCGTCTAGCTGTCAGAGTTACCACTGTCACTAACTGCTGTCCCTGAATATATATTATCTAGGTAGGTCTTTATTCACTGTTACAATCATTAAAAAGCGGAAGCAGCATGTGTTTGCATTCAGTATACCTGCAGTAGCTAGGGTAGCAAAGAAAAGCTAACGCTAGTTAATGTGTTCTCTGCTAATATTAGCTCCACAGGTTTTTAGGTAGAAACGTAACAATTCAGAAAGGTATATCTCCTTCCAACCTCTCCAAGTTAGGGTTAGAGTATCACTCAGTGGTGGGCCGTCAGGGCCAGCAAAGCCTTCTCTGCTGGCCCTGACAGAATCACAAAGTTATAGCTATTTTATAGTTTAATTATTTTTCATAAATACACTACATGTATTCTTAATATTTTTTCCTATTAGCTTCTTATCTCATTGCACAGCTACTGTCTTCCTCAATTGCTCTGCTTCCAGCGCAGCTTGTTTTAAGTAGAGCTTTTATCCAATCAGATTTCCCCTCTATGCTGTCGCTAAGTAAAAAAATCTGCCTGGAGGCCTTCAGAATTGCAAGTGAATCCCTTTGCAGTTTAAATGAATGGGGACGATATTGTTGATTGTCATAGTCTT